AGGCGAATGTAGAGCTGTCTGGGTGCTGTTTATGTGCTTAAATTGGTTAGGGGTCAACTTGGGTGGAAATCAGAGGGCTGTTTCTGGACCCACAGAGGCCCCAGAGGTGTGAGGACACCAGCATCTCTCAGCAGGTGTGGGAGACAGCAGATGACCAGATGGGCTGGAAGATGGAGGTGGGACTTCTAACCGAGATGGCAGGTTCTGTAACCTGGCTGGCTGTGCAGCTATGCGTTGTCACCACATGGTTTTGCCAGCCCACAGTCACTGTGCTGCCTCTGCAGACCACGTAGGGAGAAGAATGGGCTGAACATTTTTTCTGCCAGAAAGTGTGCTTGCATTAAAATCAAACTGTTCCACAGGAACAGTTTTATCCAGTTTGATAACATCCTCAGTGGGATTTTTAGAAAGAATGGTGCAGGTTCTCCTCTTCCCTGTTAATGACGTGAGAGCTGGAGATGATAGGATTTTTTAATTTTATTTTTATGGGTTGTTATCAGGAAGTGAAATGTTGTCCAAGGAACATTTTCATTAAGACTGGTGCACTTAGGACACCCTGTAGACTTTTAGCAGTACCTGCTAAGGGGTCTGCCACAGAGCTTGAAGTCCAACAAACCCACTTGTTCTCAGCACTGGAGCAGAAGCGCTTCAGGTCTCAGTTAGCAAGTCCCAGCTCTGAGGAGGGACGGAGGAGGCGCTTTCCTTCTTAATTTTTTCTAGGCAGTTTCAGTTATTTCTTGATTATTTTTTATTTTTACTGTTTGACTTAAAAGAAAGGAATCCACTAAATCCTGCAAGTAACTAGAAGTCAGGGGAGGGAGCTGAGAATTCTGAAAGATGAGTGGGTGCATGTAATACATGATTATCTCCAAGGAAAAAGTTGGTATTGCTTTCACAAAAGGCAGCCAGCCTCACAATCACACAGGAGTGCTTGGAAAAAGTCAGCAAGTATGTGGGTGGGTGGGAAGCTCCTAGTTGATGTAGTCTGCTTGCATTTCTGAAAGGTTTTCAATATGGTCCCTCACGGTAGGGTCTTTTAAGGAAACTTAATAGTTCTGAGTTAAGAAGGAAGTTCCTTGTGTGAATAAATATTTGTCTAAAAGGTGAAAGGCAGAGGGGAAGTGGATGGTGAGTTACCATGTGGAAAAGAGGTCAGCGATGCTCTTCACAGGGATAGGGACTGGGATATGTGGTGTTCAATAAATCTCTAACTGGAAAAAGTTGTGATTAGTGAAGTGGTGATATTTGGAGGTGAAACAAAGTTTAATCGAGGCATGAAGGATAAGGCCTGACTTAAAGAATTGCAAATAAGCTTTTATGAGGCTCAGCAAGCATTAAAACAGAAGAAGAAATTCAACTGTGAAGTGATGGAGTTTGGGGAAGATGGAGAGAACCTAATTTCCTCATTTCAACCTATTTTCCAATCTAAAAGAGCAGGCTCTAAGATGACCATTACTGCTCAGGAATGAGATCTTTGGGTGGTGATAGGCAGTTCTGTGGAAAGGTCAGCTCAGTGCTAAGTGCCAATCAAAAGCAGTAAACCATGTTAGGATTTGCTGTGAAAGGGAAGCAGGACAAAACACAGAACATCATTATGGCTTTATATAAATCCACAGTGCATTTACCTCTTGGAGATTGTTCGTAGTTTTAGTCCATCTGAAAGGCTCAGAAATGCAGGAGGGGTGGCCAGGGGATGGCAACCACTTCTGTATGAGGAATGGGCAAGTTGGCAAAGGCTCCTCAGCCTGACCAAGAGATGACGAGGTGGCTGGAGGATGTGAAAGAGACTAAAGAGCTCACCAGTGGCATTGAGAGAGTGGATGGGGATTGCTTGCATGATGTCTCTTCCAATACAAGGGTGGGCACCAAGTGAAACTTCCTGGTGACAGGCTTAAAGCAAACAAAGAGAGGTGTTTCTTTGCATGGTGTATAGAATTCTTTGCGTGGCATCCAGCTGAGCTATGGAAGTTGTTACTATAGGAGGTCATGGATGCTGAAAGTCTGCATGGTCCAAAAGGAAAACAGGACAACTTCATGACTTAGTCCTTGAAATCCTTGAAACCATCTTTAGAGGTAATTCTGGATCTTAGGCTGCTGGAAGGAAAACAAGATATTGGGGAAATCTTGATATATGCTGTCTTGTTCTCATAATCCTCCTAAAGCAAAGCTTGGCCACTGTGAGATAAGGCATATTGGACTACATGGACATTTATCCTGACCCGTTCTCATGCTGTGCTTAGTAATCCCCCCAGGATTACTAAGGAATGTGGGATTGACCCGAGGATGCTGTGGAAGCAGAGCCCAGTTGCAGGAGAAGTGGTGGTGTTCAAATATAATAATTTAATATCTGGAAATGTTTGTATAATTGTCTTTTCCCCACAAGTTTTGCGTTGTTTTCCCATTAGCCACACCAGTGAATTTTGAACTGCTGGAATTTTCACGGTACATCGGTCCCACCTTCCCAGGTACCTGTGACACCACTTGGTCAAAGTCTGAGAACTAAGCTGTAGACAGAAGCATGTGAATTTCCTCGACTTAGAAGTTGTTCATTATGGAGTTGGGAGCATCCTCTCCCAGCTGAGATGCCTCAATTACTTGCTTACTTGCCTGAAGCCCCCTGTGTGGTTGCTGGCAGCTCTGCATGGCCATTCAGACTGTAGGATGGCAGTAATAACTTAACTTCAGAGCCTTAAAAAGTACCAGGAATAACCCAGGGCAGACCATGTGGGGCTACAAAAGCAGCCAGCCTGGACAAGCAGCTGTACTTGCTCTGTGGTTGTAAAGGTACTTTTTTTTTTTTTTGTATCATACTTCAACACTTCGCCTGATGATGTATTTTTGTTCACAGGAGGGCTTTTAATTGCCATGAAGGACTTCAGCCAGTGCTGTAAATTTATTCTTACTCTCGGGATTTCAGACACTTCTAACGGACTGATAACCATGGCACAGTGATGGCAGAGACACAGCAGGGTGTGTGGATTTTTCTTGAAGTAAATGAAGCATATATATTATTTCCGTACTTTCTTAACTAGACCTAAAAGCCATGTGTATTAAAATCCTTATTTATAATTTTTTCCCCTTTCCTCTCTTCCAGATTTTAACATTGGGAAGATGCTGATGGGCAAAAATGAATCTTGGCTGTCTAATTTCTCCTCTGCTGCCTCCTCCTTTGTGAAAGGAGGTGGCAACTGGGCAGGGATCGGCTTCCAGGAGGTGGTCATTGGGCTGATACTAACCCTCATTGACCTGATCACTCTTCTGGGAAATACAATAGTCTTCATCTGCCCAGTGGTGGAAAAGAGGCTGCGCACCGTCACCTATATGTTTATCATGTCCTTAGCCATGGCAGATTTCCTCGTAGCTTGTCTGGTCATGCCCTTTAGGTAAGAAGTGCTTGTAAGGTAAGATCAGACAGTGGTGTGTGTGTGCAACCTCATTTCTCCTAGCTCAGGGGCCACTGTCTGAGCAGGGCCGGCTAGAAGTTCATGTGTTTAGGACTGGGGTCTCCTAAGAGCTTATCTGTGAGTCAGTGATTGTATGTGCTTCTGTGCCTCAGTTTCCCTACCCTTTTTAATGGGTCCCATTATAATGAATGGAGAGAGACTTCCCAAGGGTATTTTTCCCGTTGGCTATAGAGGGACTCTGGCTGCTGGTCTGAACTAGATATCCAGCTTTTAAGATGGCTCCAGTATGACAAGTCCCCTCTTCCAGGACTAGCTCTGCCTTGCACGTGGGGCCAACATCATTGGGGCCAAATGATTTTTCATGCTCTGAGTGTTTGGGGAATGTGAGGTGGGGACTGTCACTGGTGTGTCAGCATTAACTGTCATGACTGTGTTAATCCTAGATACAGAAAATCATGGAGTATATTTTTCCCTTATTTTTCTTAGACAAGAATGACCATTGAAATCAGTGGAGTTAAATTCTATGCTTTGGATTTTACACTTCTTTAACCTTATCTTTTATTTTTTGGTATTGGGAGGGAGAAGGAACAAGGTTCCTTACTAATGTAAGAAAATGAATGTTTTCATATCACTGAACTTGAAAGGCTATTGCAGAGATGTTATTCTTCATATTCTTTGTGAAACGCAGAATTTTGGTTGTTCCTTCTGGTTCAGAAAAGATAGCAGCGGAGTTTGTGGGGAAGGCTGGTGACCTTGCAAAATAAATCTTTTGCCTCTAGAAGCAGACTAGAAGAGCTGCAGTCTGCAGTGGGATAGCAAATGGGATTCTGGGCACCTGGGGGATTTTTTTTGCCCCTATTACCTGAGTGCATTGCACATCGATAAGTGGCACTGTAGACATAGGGACAAGGGCCATCTCCCTTCTCTGTATAAATGTAATGATTTTATTTCAGTATAAGTAGGGTAATTTAGGCTCCCCCTATATTAAGTGGAGGAAGAGGCACTTCAGAGGGCAGTTCTCCCTCCTTGAGCTTTATATTTACAGGACTTCACTAACTGGCTAAAACACAGTAACACAGATCCAGAAAGCAGTTTACTTTGGGCTCTGGCTGGCTTGTGCTGCAAAATGGCCACAGGTTTGTGTAAAGCCAGGGGCTGCACCTCGTTCAGTGCTCTTGGAGCAATATGAAAAAGCTGAACTCTTTTCACATTTGTGCTTTAGTTCTCAGGGGGCTGCCTACGCTTTTGAATTTGGCACTGAAAGATAATCTTTTTTTCCCAACAAGCAATTACAAACTGAGTTGTAAGTTTATAGTGTCAGGTGAAGAAAAAAAAGCTGTTAATGATGCCTTTTAAAAAATAGTATGGCCAATTTAAATTCTAAGCTCGGTGAATTTTCAAGTTCAGGCTCTGAAATAATCCCTCTGTATTCACCTGTCTCTCCCCTCCCCCTGGTGCTACAAATACCTGCCCGAGGGGCTGGGATTGCAGTTTAGCTGACAATGGTTTAACCTCTTCTGCCCTATTAAAGTCAGCAGGAATGAGGGTAGTGACTTAACCAGCTGTATTTTTGTTCACAGGAGGGCTTTTAATTGCCATGAAGGACTTCAGCCAGTGCTGTAAATTTATTCTTACTCTCGGGATTTCAGACACTTCTAACGGACTGATAACCATGGCACAGTGATGGCAGAGACACAGCAGGGTGTGTGGATTTTTCTTGAAGTAAATGAAGCATATATATTATTTCCGTACTTTCTTAACTAGACCTAAAAGCCATGTGTATTAAAATCCTTATTTATAATTTTTTCCCCTTTCCTCTCTTCCAGATTTTAACATTGGGAAGATGCTGATGGGCAAAAATGAATCTTGGCTGTCTAATTTCTCCTCTGCTGCCTCCTCCTTTGTGAAAGGAGGTGGCAACTGGGCAGGGATCGGCTTCCAGGAGGTGGTCATTGGGCTGATACTAACCCTCATTGACTTGATCACTCTTCTGGGAAATACAATAGTCTTCATCTGCCCAGTGGTGGAAAAGAGGCTGCGCACCGTCACCTATATGTTTATCATGTCCTTAGCCATGGCAGATTTCCTCGTAGCTTGTCTGGTCATGCCCTTTAGGTAAGAAGTGCTTGTAAGGTAAGATCAGACAGTGGTGTGTGTGTGCAACCTCATTTCTCCTAGCTCAGGGGCCACTGTCTGAGCAGGGCCGGCTAGAAGTTCATGTGTTTAGGACTGGGGTCTCCTAAGAGCTTATCTGTGAGTCAGTGATTGTATGTGCTTCTGTGCCTCAGTTTCCCTACCCTTTTTAATGGGTCCCATTATAATGAATGGAGAGAGACTTCCCAAGGGTATTTTTCCCGTTGGCTATAGAGGGACTCTGGCTGCTGGTCTGAACTAGATATCCAGCTTTTAAGATGGCTCCAGTATGACAAGTCCCCTCTTCCAGGACTAGCTCTGCCTTGCACGTGGGGCCAACATCATTGGGGCCAAATGATTTTTCATGCTCTGAGTGTTTGGGGAATGTGAGGTGGGGACTGTCACTGGTGTGTCAGCATTAACTGTCATGACTGTGTTAATCCTAGATACAGAAAATCATGGAGTATATTTTTCCCTTATTTTTCTTAGACAAGAATGACCATTGAAATCAGTGGAGTTAAATTCTATGCTTTGGATTTTACACTTCTTTAACCTTATCTTTTATTTTTTGGTATTGGGAGGGAGAAGGAACAAGGTTCCTTACTAATGTAAGAAAATGAATGTTTTCATATCACTGAACTTGAAAGGCTATTGCAGAGATGTTATTCTTCATATTCTTTGTGAAACGCAGAATTTTGGTTGTTCCTTCTGGTTCAGAAAAGATAGCAGCGGAGTTTGTGGGGAAGGCTGGTGACCTTGCAAAATAAATCTTTTGCCTCTAGAAGCAGACTAGAAGAGCTGCAGTCTGCAGTGGGATAGCAAATGGGATTCTGGGCACCTGGGGGATTTTTTTTGCCCCTATTACCTGAGTGCATTGCACATCGATAAGTGGCACTGTAGACATAGGGACAAGGGCCATCTCCCTTCTCTGTATAAATGTAATGATTTTATTTCAGTATAAGTAGGGTAATTTAGGCTCCCCCTATATTAAGTGGAGGAAGAGGCACTTCAGAGGGCAGTTCTCCCTCCTTGAGCTTTATATTTACAGGACTTCACTAACTGGCTAAAACACAGTAACACAGATCCAGAAAGCAGTTTACTTTGGGCTCTGGCTGGCTTGTGCTGCAAAATGGCCACAGGTTTGTGTAAAGCCAGGGGCTGCACCTCGTTCAGTGCTCTTGGAGCAATATGAAAAAGCTGAACTCTTTTCACATTTGTGCTTTAGTTCTCAGGGGGCTGCCTACGCTTTTGAATTTGGCACTGAAAGATAATCTTTTTTTCCCAACAAGCAATTACAAACTGAGTTGTAAGTTTATAGTGTCAGGTGAAGAAAAAAAAGCTGTTAATGATGCCTTTTAAAAAATAGTATGGCCAATTTAAATTCTAAGCTCGGTGAATTTTCAAGTTCAGGCTCTGAAATCATCCCTCTGTATTCACCTGTCTCTCCCCTCCCCCTGGTGCTACAAATACCTGCCCGAGGGGCTGGGATTGCAGTTTAGCTGACAATGGTTTAACCTCTTCTGCCCTATTAAAGTCAGCAGGAATGAGGGTAGTGACTTAACCAGCAGATTTGTAATGCTGATAGTGGGGGTTTTGCTTTACGTTAGAGATGGGGTTGTGGAAGTGGCTTTTCCATCCAGACAGGGATGGAAAGGGTCTCCAGGTTGGCTGATCTTACTCCTTGGGGATCGAAGGCAGCTCTGAGAGGGTTTTTGGGCGAGGACCTGGCTGACATGCCTGCAGCAGTTTGGCTGTCCACTTCCTTCCCCAGTTCCAGCCACCAGCCTAAACTGGGCTGGAGCTGGGCTGCAACCGGGAATGGTGGAGTCTGCAGGGCCTGAGCTGGGCTTTCCTGCAAAACAGTATGGTTCCCCCTGCCCAGAGGGGATGCAGAAATGATCCTGTTGACAGGAGTACATGGTACTCCTGCTATATTATTTTTTTTTTTGGTCCAAGAGAAGCTCTGATGTTTCCCACCACATGGACGAGGCCACTGCAACAAAATGCAGCAGACCATTTCAGCATCCCAGAAAGAGAAAAACAGTGTGTCAGACATCAAAAATGAGCTAAAGCAACAACCTTTCTGCTGCCTGGCATTTCCCTGAGCTCTTTTTCTTTTTTTTTTTTTTTTTTTTTTTTCTGTGTTCTTGTTAAGATCAGAAATGAGAAGTTTTAATCCCAGTCCAGCCTGGGTGCCTTAAGGGCTCCTCTCTGGGACTGCACAGCATCACCTGCTCTTCCACCCACTCCAACAATCCCTCCAGGAGATCATCTTCTCCTTTACCCCCATCTTACCCAGGAATGATAGCACCCTCTTTGCTCAAATCACAAAATCACAGAATTGTCAGAGTTGGAAGGGACCTCTAGAGATCACCTGGTCCAACTCCAGTTCTTCCATATATCTAGTCTGAATCTACCCTCTTTTAGTTTAAAACCATTACTCCTGGTCCTATCAAAGGATGGTAGACGACATTAAAAGGGGGGGAAACCAATGGCTTTGCTATGCAGCCAGAGATTAAATAGCCCACCCAAGAGAGGGATGTCTTAAAAAAAGAAAAAAAAAAACCCAAACCACAAAACCCCACAAAAAACAAAGGGAAGCAAAGAGTAGAGCATGATTGATGCTTTGTGACCCTCCTGAATGTCCTGATGCCACCTGGTGTGAAGTCTTGCCAGCTGCTGGTGGGCCACATGGTGAGGAATGGACCCTGCTGGCTCCATCAAGCGTTGTTTGGCCCTGCTGATGGGGTGGCTGTTGGTGCACATTTTCCCCACTGTCTCAGCATCATATCTATATTGCTTTTTTGAATTGTAGTTTGTTCCTTGTTGGGCATGTTAGTACATGCCAACAAGAAGTCACTTTGGCTCAGGAAAAAGAGGCTTTGTGACAGAAAGGAAAAACAAGGTTGTCACCTGGTGCTTTAATTTCTTAAGGGTAAGATTTCTGTTTTGTTCCTGGTTTGGCTTGTTTGCAAGAGTGATTCAGCTTTGTTTAGCTTGTCATCTGGGTTCTCCAGCCAGCTCAGCCGTTTCCAGGCTGAATATTTCCAGCTACTATTTTCTTTCTCAAATGTAAGTGAAATTGACTTCACCTCTGCTCATACTGTGCGTTTCTTTGGGCTTTTATTATTCCTTTTTAGCCAGCATAATTTCTGGGCTGCAGAGACTTTTTACACCAGAGAAGAGGGAACAGATATCCACTACCCTGTGCTGTGAGAACATCTGATAGGTCAGGCGCATCCCCCCAGATGCATGGTGATGAGTTAGGTACCTGCTTAGCTGGGATCTGTGTGCAGGGATGTTCACAACAGCAGCATGGTCTACTTCTGGAAAGCTGTGGTGTGAGCACCAAAGGCTTTGCAGCATCTCTGGATGTAAGAAGGGCCTCTGAGGAATGGTGCCAAGACACCCAAGTCCGTTACCAGTCCTATCAAAGGATGGTAGACGACATTAAAAGGGGGGGAAACCAATGGCTTTGCTATGCAGCCAGAGATTAAATAGCCCACCCAAGAGAGTGATGTCTTAAAAAAAGAAAAAAAAAACCCAAACCACAAAACCCCACAAAAAACAAAGGGAAGCAAAGAGTAGAGCATGATTGATGCTTTGTGACCCTCCTGAATGTCCTGATGCCACCTGGTGTGAAGTCTTGCCAGCTGCTGGTGGGCCACATGGTGAGGAATGGACCCTGCTGGCTCCATCAAGCGTTGTTTGGCCCTGCTGATGGGGTGGCTGTTGGTGCACATTTTCCCCACTGTCTCAGCATCATATCTATATTGCTTTTTTGAATTGTAGTTTGTTCCTTGTTGGGCATGTTAGTACATGCCAACAAGAAGTCACTTTGGCTCAGGAAAAAGAGGCTTTGTGACAGAAAGGAAAAACAAGGTTGTCACCTGGTGCTTTAATTTCTTAAGGGTAAGATTTCTGTTTTGTTCCTGGTTTGGCTTGTTTGCAAGAGTGATTCAGCTTTGTTTAGCTTGTCATCTGGGTTCTCCAGCCAGCTCAGCCGTTTCCAGGCTGAATATTTCCAGCTACTATTTTCTTTCTCAAATGTAAGTGAAACTGACTTCACCTCTGCTCATACTGTGCGTTTCTTTGGGCTTTTATTATTCCTTTTTAGCCAGCATAATTTCTGGGCTGCAGAGACTTTTTACACCAGAGAAGAGGGAACAGATATCCACTACCCTGTGCTGTGAGAACATCTGATAGGTCAGGCGCATCCCCCCAGATGCATGGTGATGAGTTAGGTACCTGCTTAGCTGGGATCTGTGTGCAGGGATGTTCACAACAGCAGCATGGTCTACTTCTGGAAAGCTGTGGTGTGAGCACCAAAGGCTTTGCAGCATCTCTGGATGTAAGAAGGGCCTCTGAGGAATGGTGCCAAGACACCCAAGTCCGTTACCAGACCCGTGCTTCAACTTCTGTATGTCTCATTTCCCCATGTAGAAAAAAGCCATAAAACCTTTCCGTGTGTGCAGTGGGACCCTCCATAATGCCCATGTGGAGGACACCGTGCTGTAGGGACGAGTTCTGCTGTATATTAATGCTTGCTTGAATTTTTGTGTAGCATCCTGCATAACAAATAGCTGCCAAGGGCTGGTGCCCTTCAGCCAGCACTCTACCCACTTACAGTAGCTGGGCTCTAAAAGAACCTTCGTAAAGTCATTTTAATGAGTTGTTGCTAATTGGATGCAGAGCAGGGGTTGGTTTCTAACTCCTCTGACATCAAGTTGACTCCTGCCCTCGTCGGGTGGCATAGCCCACCTGAGTGCACTGCAGCGCAGCAGCCCTACTTTCACTGTGTTTGACCAGCAAGCTGTGAAGTTACAGGATAATTAAAGCTTTGCAGGACTAGGTAGTTACTCAGCCTTTCACATCAAATTCGCACACAATGGTTATTTCAGCAGCACCCCAGGAGCTGCAGAAAGCTGGTGAAAGAAAGGGGAAGCGAATGGCATCTAATTGAATACTATAGAAACATGCATCAGCCTTCCTACAGCTGCCATATGTTCCTTCCTTTGCTGCTCACTTCTTACAGGTCCCTCTTGACTTTGTTAGAAATAATTTTGGCATAATGTGTGCTCTTTGTGGGTGTGTTTACCTCACTGAGGCATTTGTGAGCTACGTAATGGACAAATCACAGAGGCTTCCTCCTGGGATATTTTTTTTTTTTTTTTCAACCAGGACTCAAAATCCTCTAGTTTTGAAGCATGAGACCAGATGAAAAGTGAGTTTTGTGGAGGAGGGAACATCTTCCATGCCCCAGGAATTGGGAAGAATTCATAAAAGTCTGTGCTTCTTAGGGCACTAGAAAAAGTTGTGATAAATAAAGCTGTGCAGACGTAAATTCGGGGAGCTCTTGAGGGGAGCAAAGCACCTCTCTCAAGGCACCCACTTGTAACAGAGTGCAGACAAGGAGCATAGATTCAGTCTTCTTCAGATACACTCCACCTGTGGGTTATTGCCTTGGGTTGAACTTTGAGGATGAATCTCTGCTGTCTAACAGCCTCCCCAGGCTGCATGCCCACCTTTAGGTCCTCCGCGTTAAGACATGGCATTACCTCAGCAGAGGCTCAAAGAAATGCCTGAAATCAGTCCTCCTTGCTTTGGTTTCTACCTGTTTTCTCTGGCAGTATTATTTACGAGGTGACGGGGATGTGGTTGTTTGGGAAGCTGTTCTGCAAAGTCTGGATCTCCTTTGACGTCATGTTCTGCACTGCGTCCATCGTCACGTTGTGCTTCATTAGCCTGGACAGATACTGCTCCGTGGTGACACCATACCACTATTCCAGAAGGATGTCCCGAGGCAGGTGAGTTGAGTTGCTCCTCACTTTTCTCCTCACCTCCAAATTTTTACTTGCCCATGGCCTATATTGACTAGGCACCAAATGAGTTGTTGACAGTTGCTGCCCCAGAGCAGAGCGATGTGACAAAAGGATCCCCGCACCATTTAAAACTTCACAGAAAAATTCTAATGTGGTGCAGGAGAAAAGGAGAATGCAGATGAGCTGGTTTGACAGAGCTCCTGGGAAAGGACTTTTTGAGTTAAGGATGGGTTGCAAAATGGGGTAGAAACTGGTGGTGTGGGCTGACTCATACCTACAATTTCTGCCTTTTGCAGGCATTTCATGGGGACTTCCTCAAGCAGTAGGGGAAATGATACCCAGAAGAATGTATGTAGCAGGAGCCTTCCCTCTCTTAAACTCATGATGTTCATGGGGGAAACAGAGAGAAAACAGGCTAAGTTTCTAAGTTCCTGCCAAGGTTTCACGTGAAATATTGAGAGGAGGACTGTAGGGTGGGGAAAGTTGTCTGAGGATGGACAGAGAGGATGTTGCAGCTGTGGGGTACTTCACAAGGTGGGTTCAGACTCTTTTGGAGATGTTCTTCCTGCTGCAGCCCTTGCTGTGTACAATTAGTGGAGCACGGGCAGTCACCAAAACGAGGTGGGGCTGTGCAGCACACCCTGTTGCAGAGCAAGAGGATCTAGTGTCCTCACCTCTATTGCTCCCCCGAGGATAAGATAATGGCCAGATACTAAGACTGAAACTAAACAGCAAAATCTATATCCTGTTGTTTTAAATATTAACAAAAATCCCCTGTGAAACCTTTCCTCCTTTTTTTTTCTGCCGGTTCTGAGCATCCCTCACACTGACACCAACTCTGTAAGCCACAGACCCAATTACCCAGGCGTTCGTTAGCCATACTCACGTATGGACTTCTTGTACCCCAGCTTTTCCCCTGCTTGGTCACTTCTCCAAGCCTTGTGGGACCGCTGAGCGGTGATATCCCACCCGGGTTACCATGGGGATTGAATCGTACTGGGTGTTCTCAGCTCAAAATAACTCAGGCTGTCTCTTCCCTCCCTGTCTCTTTCCTTTCGCAGATGCATCGTGATGACCTGCATGGTCTGGGTGTACTCCTCCCTCATTTCCTTCCTTCCTGTCATGCAAGGCTGGAACGAGATCCCTGGGGTGGACTTTGATGCGGGCAGGGAATGCATCTTTGTCACCAACTGGATTTTTGCCATCGTGGCTTCTGCTCTGGCATTTTTCGTCCCCTTCATGGTCATGTGCAGCATGTATTTCTTCATCTACCGAGCTTCACGGCTCAAGGCCACGCGTATCATGTCTCAGACTCTGGAGATTCACTATCACCCCAACAGCAAGCGGCAGAACCATCTGCAGCTGGAGAACAAGGCCACACGGACCATTAGCATTATCATTTCAGTCTTTGTGCTCTGCTGGCTGCCGTACTTTGTCCTGAATGTCTGGCTTGCTGCCAGAGGCACCGACTCCACCAGCACGGTCTTGGTTGACACCTTCAAGATCATCACTTGGTTAGGGTACTGCAATTCCACCATCAACCCAATGCTCTATGCCTTCCTGAACCGGGACTTCCAACGGGCCCTGAAGAAGCTGCTCGTTTGCAGGCACAGGTCTCAGGTGGACATTGGAGAAGACATGGTTTCCATAGCCACCTTCTCCAAGACTGCTCCAGACCTAGAATATAGCATCACGGTGCCAGTGCCCAATGGTGCCCTGAAGGGCAAACCCAAGTAATAGGGACTCAGAATCAGTTGGTGGAGGTGGTGGTACAGAAAGTGCCAGAGCACATCCTAATGGGGAAAAAAAAATGGGTAGGAAAACAGGGGAAGGAAGGCCTGGAATATTACAGCTGGGGCAAATGACAGGTCCATTTCTTCATCTTCCACAGTTCTATTAAGGAGGAACTTTGATATTTTAGGCATAATTTGTTAGAACTAATGGAGCTAATTCCTTCCTGGGTAATTATTTTTTTAATGAGCATTTCCTAAGACAAAATCAATCTTCATGCTGGAGAAAAAAATCAGTTATGATAACACGAACTTGTCTTTGTGACATCCTGCTGATCTGCAATGTAAGGTGGGACAGTATTTCTTTCTTATCAAGCCATTGTAGCTCTCATCTTGCCACTTACATTACAGATTTGAGCAGTTTTAATAACTCCACGTGTGTCAGTCTGTGCATGTGACTTAGGAGGGTTGTGGTCAAAGAGCAGAGGTCACTTCTTTACAGAGGCGCCATTCTGCTGTCTGGGCTGCTGCTCAGGGTTCAACTCACTTGCTTCTGAAATATTGAAAGGTTCAGGGCTTTCATTGGCTTTCTGAAATTATCTGTGAGTTTCCTTATTAATTCTGGAATGGAATTTCCCGTGTGGCAGACCTCGGGAGATGGGAAAGACTTGCTCTTACAGCAAGAGCACTGAGTGCCCAGGGGTTCGCAGGGGACTACAGGTGACCAAAACCAGCCAAAGAGGGGATGTGAAGAAGAATTATTATTTACTTGTGTGTTTTGCAATGTGATGTCTGTGCCTTGAAGCTATGAGTGTAGCTATAGAGCACTGCTGGACCATGCAGCCATGAAAAAATGATGACTAATGGGATTGATTATTTTTACCAAGTGCTTGTCTGGACTTCAAACAGCATCGGCTCCCTGCAGGAGGGCCATGGAACACCTCTCTGAAGGATTACCCCGAAAAGGCAGGACTGCTCTGAACATCTCTGCAGCATCTGAACAGTGAGTAAAAGGAGGAGCTGAGTCCTCGGGATCACAGCTTTTCTGTAGCATGTCTGGTGACTCCTCAGACAACACTTATCACTCCCCCCTGGCACAGCTCTGGTGAGGTCTCATGCTCTTAGACCAATCTTCTATGGATATGAAACACCTCAATGATGGCTTTAAAACTGAAGTTTCCTGGGTGCTCAATCACCTCCTTGGGACAGGCAAGGCTTCTGCAGCCTGGGAAGTGGAGCAAACACAGCAGAAAGACAGCCAGGGCTAACACTTAATGCTGAAACTACTGCTCTGAGGCACTCAGGGGTAATAGTCCTGAGTCCTTCTGCTCTTCCAGTTCAAAGGTAGCAGAGGAGGACTGTCCTCAGAGGTGTCAGAAAAAGCAAGTAACTACAGCTCAGAGCAGCTCAGCTACTGAAGACACTGGTACAAGGGTCAGCAGTTCTCTCTCCTTAAGAGCCTGGTAGAAGAAACAGCCCTGACCAGGGGTTGCAATGCTGGTACTCCTGTCAAATGACCCGCTCTGGGCTGGGTGTCCCAGCTCCTACGACTCCAGTACCACCACGGAAGCGGTAAGGAGAGTAACTACGCAATCCTGCCCTTATTCTGGGGGAAGTATCTAGGTCCAGCGGGCACAAAGGTGGACGGAGCAAGATTCTTACTTCTGCCACACAGTTCATTTTGATAAAGCTGGGCAAGGAACTGTGTTTCAGCCCCAAAAGCTATGGGGGGGAAGGAGCTGAGGCAGCATCCTCTTCAAGCACAGGCTCCACAGGGCAGCAGAGCCCAAGACCAAAGCTGCCTTTTGCAGGGCTGGCAGCTGTCCTAGCCTCCCACGTTCAGGTGTCCCTCTTCTAAAAATGTTGGCAGGAAGGTACGCATCAATTTCCATGGCTGCAGGAAGACGTGAGACAGTCTGATAGTTGGTTTCTAGAGGCTGATAAACTGAAAGAAGGCAAATAAACTTGTCTATGATCCTGTAGATGTTCCTGTCACGGGCTGTCATGTAAATAGCAGGATCTCATACAGAAGGAGCAAAGCTGCTGCTGTCATTTGTGCAGAGCTAAGAAAACCCTGTCTTCATTGCTTTCCCTTCCAGGATGTAAGCATAGAGCAAATGCACGTTAGACCAAAGGTCTTTGGTCTTTCAGTAACAGTTGACTATTTGGTCTGCATTTACTGAAGAACATCATCTGGCAGAAGGACAGGGATGGAACAGGGAAGTGTAGTATAATTCAAACCTGATTTAACGAAGGAAAACACAGAAGTTGCATCCCTCTGGGTAGCCTGGTAAAAGACAAGCTGGTAAAATAGTTCTGGAGCTGATGGGGGTATTGAAGCTCAGGTGGATATTTCATAGCAGAGAGAAGTGTCATCTTCCCCCATGGGTGGGGCAGAGCAAGTGGAGCTGCCAAAGACAGGGAAAAGAACGCTTGCAGGTAAGACCTGGAGTTAAGAGGAAAACCTCTCTGGTCAAGGAAAATACTTTCTTAGTCAAACCCAGGAGAAAAAAGGAACAAAGACGGGGACACCACACTCCAGTATCCAGTGCTAAAAGAAGCACAGCCTCACCCACACAGGCAGTTAAGAGCTGAGGGTGGCCAGGTGCTTTTGTGGCTGGGCAGGCATCACACAGGGTAGGCTTTGTACATGCCTTCGAGGAAAAATGTAGCTTCCCAGAATACACAGACACACCTAGTGGGAACACATATGCCATTTTTGGTACTGAAATGCTTGCAAGGCTCTTGGAATAGGCAGCTACTTACATTCAGCACAGATACACAGCAAGGTAAAAATACCTCATTCTTCATTTCCTGTGCTTCATCTGTAATCACTGAGCTGGCAGGGAAGCTGGAGAGGCTTCAAACGCAGCCACTTAACTGTGCATTTACAGCTGATGCTGACAGGGAAATCCTAGGGAAGAGGACACACTTAACTGTCTCCTGCTTTAACACAGATAAAATTGATAGTTCTGTTTCTGACCAAATATTCACTGCAGCATTCTGGCTTCAACTGGACAAGCCACTACTTAGAGTTATCCAAGCACAAGAAAAAACAAAAGTGAGTTACAAATATTGTCTATCATAAGGCTGCAGAGTGTCAGTTGGTCTAATTGCTAGTTGTACACAGTACAGTGGAGCCCCAAAAGGATTTGAATCCAGCATCTCTCTAAGAAACTGATTTCAGAGTCTACAACTTCAAAAATCTAAGCCTGTAAAACAGGAAAATGCATTTATGCAAAAACAGTTCTAACAGCATAAGAATTATCTCTTCAAGACTTCCCTCTCTTGATAGTTGAGAGATTGAGTTCGTAAACCTCTCAGTTTAGAAGACCTCAGTTCGCTCCTTCCTTCTGGTAGTATCTGACTTTCAAGCAGCATGTGCACCTTTGCATCATCACGTGCACCCTGGCAAGCACGAGACAGGAAAGCAAAGCAAGTTACAGCAACGCAGTGCCCGTCCTCCTGTTCCAAGGCTGCCATCTGCAGCGCACACTGATGCAGGGTCTAAACAGAAGCAACTACTATTCCTTTTTTATAAATAAAAAAAGTTTATTAAATCATTTAGACTTGAAAGAAGTCACGATAATTAATGCACTCAACAATTATAGCAAGTGCATTCTGTACACCACCAACCCAAATGGATTGATTCTGTATTTTATAAATAAAAATTAACATATTTACAATGAGAAATAAAAGCATGGCATTAGGCAGTTAAATTAGCAGATTACACAAATGCCTACCAGCTGATTTTTTAAAAAGTACAAATCTACAAGATTACATACGACACGTATGACTTCATTAGGTTTAAATTTTGAGAATCACAATCTTTTCATACATAATTTTTACTATGGCTCTTCCAACCACTGCCTATAAACCCCCCCTTTTTATGGCAAAAAGCTCCTTTTCCTTCTCTACGGGTTTATCTGTATAAAATGCATTCTCTAAGATCTACTATAGTGCAGAAGTATGAAATGATTTCCTCTAATGACTGGCTATGGAGAGTGACAGTATATACAACTGTGGTAGTTTTTTGCTTTAAAAATAGTGCATATTCCCAGTTTACCCACCAGGGACAAAAATGGAGTCATAGTTCATTTCAAAATCATCTTCATTTCACCAAAGAGCAAGTGATCCAGATAGATACTCACTAGGCTCAGAGACTGTAATTTGCTCTATAAAAATACAGTATTTTAATTCTATTTACATGTTACAGATCTCTTACTTACCCAGCAAGCTGACTTTTACAAGCTTCAAAAAAACCCCAACAAACCCAAAAAAACAATAATGGAGCACATCAGTGGTAAGCACAGTAGCTGGACCCATCCGCCTAGGAGATTTAAGGTAAGAAAAATGGAATGTGAGAAGTGTGGTTACTGGCTTTCGTTGGCTGTCAAAGTAAACGAAAATCTGTCCAACACGTCTTATACATTAAACATGGCAAAAAAAGTTTCAGTAAACTATATCCAAGATAGACATTCTGCATCATAGGACCCTTCTACTGAACAATCCCTGTAAAACCTGCCGAGTGGAAGAAGTGATCCTGAGGATAATTATTTGCTTGGTTGTCTTGAATGCTTATTTCCTGATAAACTCATTGTCCGTGACCTCTGCCTAAGCACTGGTTTTGGTGGGAGTTCCAAGTCTTCAAATACAGGATTTTCTATGATTGCTGCAGCCTCTGGTCTTTCAGTGGGACTTGGAGAGAGCATGTCCTTCACCATGGTGTACTGAAAGAAAACATGACATGTGCTACATGAACCAATTCATAAATTCTTTCTTTGATGTTCTGACTTCAACTGTAGCTGTATGAACAAGTGGGAAATATATCCAGTGGCTTTCTGAGTAATTTGGGTGTTAGTGCTTTGGCACCGTAGTTAGAAGTGCATTAAACATCTGAAAATACATCACTGTGCATCCATTAAAATGTCTTTACTGTGAAGGACTACAATCAATTTGGCAAATCAAATCGGACCCAAGATTCAGAAGAGCTATAAAATCTTTATATTAATTTGCAATCAAAATAATTATAAAACATATGAAACAGAATTTATGAGTAATTTTTAGCTTCCTGTTTAGGCCACCATGTTTCAAGCTGTACAATAATTTCTCACAGTGAATTAGAGGTTTTCCTTTAAATATACAGGTAGTTTGAATATTTGTCTCAATTTAATCAGAATTACAGTGTCCTGCTACAGCTGAGCACAGCACATTCCCTGGGCAGCCCGCAGCTGTAAAGCAAGAAAGCCTAGTCTCATTTAGCTGCTGGTCTGAAGCAGCTGAAAACATCTCAACTTTTTATTGGAGAGGTTTCATACATCCCCTCCTTGTTATCTGAGATCCCATAAAGCCATGGTACTACCTACATTCTCCTCTTCACCTGTCTAGAACTCTGCACTTTCTCTTGTGAATATGGATTTGTTGCAAGAAATTGTGTCAGAACACATGTGAAATGAATGATATCAAGTGACAAAGGGAAGCCAGGTAATAGTGTGTAGTTACTGGAGGTAAACTCTGCGACAAAAACATCAGCATCCATGTTACTGTAATGTTATAGCTTTGAAATGTAGTAAAAAGTACACAGATAGACAAAAGTTTCTTAACACAAAAGCTATTTTTTTCCACTTTTTCTTTCAAAGCAATTGGAAAGCAAAGAAAAAAAGCTAAAATTATTGAGGGAAAAGCTACAATTAATAGCATCAAATATACTTACCTCTTGTGCATATTTCTGAATGAACAACGGTGGAAACTGCAAATTTCTAACATCGCTTAAGGTCTGCAAATACATTAAGAAAAAAAAATGTAATTTTTCCAAAACACCAATCTTGAATAGTATTACTCTATATTTTTCAAAAATGTGAAAACAAATAAGTCTGATGCGAAAAATCTTGGTTTAAAGTCTTACTTTAGTGGTTAAAAATCACAACATACTTAAAAAGGCAAGTTGCTGCTTCCCAAGGAATACAGCCTGCACTAGGAATCATGTTACAAGATCTTTGCAGTTTTAAATTAGCCAGATACACAAACTTGTACTTTCTTGCTTTGGCTCAACAAATCTTTGCACCACCCATAATCCCCATGATCACCCACATCCATAATAAGACACATGAAATAATTGGATCTGTCTTAATGATGTAAGTGCTAGCCATTATTTAATGTTTATGGACTACCAAGCAGATTTATCAGCAGTTTCAAAAGCAGTTTATGTTGCATATTTCTGTGTCCTGGCAAGAGAGTTGGTCTCTTTCAGTGCTTTTTCCATAACAAGCACGTTGGCTCCATCTACTGACAGCAATTTTCCCATGTTCAGGCACAAAATCTTTTGCAGCAGGTTGCCATATTAATTTAAGTTCTGTAATTTCCCACTTTAGCATGTTTTTAGCATAGAAGGGCAATAATTAACACTTAATTTCTTTTATGGAGGACCTCCTTTTGCATAACTTTGAGCACAAAATATAATTACTACTTCACTGAAAGTATAAACTAACCAGTTAATAGTGACAACAATCAAACTTCTGTACAAGAGAACCGAGTTATATGACAATAAAATGTTTTGAATAATTGTTCTCTTTCTCTACCAATTCAGTGATCACTTTTCAAACATCTAATTCGGAAATGAATTGCACTGCCATAGATTAAGTGCTAACAGCTTGAGACAAATGCAGGTCTCCTGCTCCTCTTTGGGGATTTTTCCAGCCCTTTGTCACAGATTCCTAGAATTTCCTGGGCTACCTGGTCAGGCAGAGCACGTTTTGCTTCAGCAAGCAGTGCTAATGCTTGGCTGATGCCAATGAAAACTCCAGTGTAACAACTCAGAAACAACTACTGAAGGAGCCAAACTCCAGAACTTGACAATAAAGGGGTGGAGGTTTATTTTCAATTTTATCAGAGTGGAGTAACAGTGAAAATGATGGTAAGTAAAGCCACTCTTTTAACCCTCTTACAAACTAAAACATCAGAGTTAGATGCAATCTAAGATTCATTCTGATTTCTTGCTTTGCTTCTATACTCAGGACAGAAACTGGAAGGGCAAAGCTTGTAGTCATTGCTGCAGATCTTGAGAATCCAGGGTAGGTCTTTACAGGGCATGTGTCTCAGTAAAACACATTTTACATACAGGAATCAAAACTGGATCCAGTGCAAGGGGTTCAAGTTAAGCACTGTGGTTATTACTCTAGGCTGCTCTCTTTTGTACCATGAAAAGCCAGAGTATTTTAAGCAAGAGAATACAAGACCAGCACAGGTGAAGCACTTGGTCAGGCTGTGTTCATGGTGTGGCTCAAGCTGCTTCTTACATCTCTGCTAAAAACAATCTATCTTCCCATGAGAATTTAAACACACCAAGCACATACAAATAGGTTATAATGACTTCTTCTTCCATGCACAGGTTTTTGGTCACCATATACAAGAGGAAAAACCTTTCTGTCTGTAGCCCCTGTTCTCTATGAACTTGTCCCTGAGCAAGATGGATCTCACATGCATTTTAACAGCAAAACCTCCCAAATTCACAGCTGATGCAATGAAAATCGTCAATTACTGGGAAGATTGTGCTTGAAGCTCAGTGAGACTCACAGCTAAGACTTACTATTGGAAAAGGAACAGCAATTTTTTGCTAAGTGCTTTGGGGGAAAGAGCACTGCAGATGCAAACGAAGGAAGAAGTGACAAAAATGCACACCATGGTTCCAATTCTTGAATGAAAAACAAGCTGGCAGGCTTAAAGTCACAAGCTATATTTGTTGCTTGAGTTCTTGGATATCCTAGTTCAATAGTTTCTCTTACTTGGCTTGACAACAGAGGAGCTTTGTAAAGAAATTAAGGCCTCAATTCAACTGCACACATTAGGAAGACTGCAATTTATTTTCAGTGATTCAGGGGGCCTGCACAAGGCTGATAAAGAAGTTGTGCTCCTAATTGCAAGGCTTTTTCAAAACTGAGAAGGACCTCTTGCAAGTGTTTCACCAAGCGAATAGCCGTTTTAAACAAATGATTAAATCAGCATAATCCAATACCATACATACCCTGACCCTCTCCATCTGTGTGCTGAAAGGGTAAAGCAGCTCAAAGAGAATCAGTCCCAAAGAAAAGATATCCACTTTGTGTGAATAGGTGTTTCCACAGATCTGAAAATTCAAAATTAGGGTTAGGTCAATCAAGCTACTCAGTGTCCATAATTAACATACGGCATGAACAACCCCCTTTCAAGTCAACATATGGAAGTGATCAGCCCTGTGCAGAGCAGAATACTACAGGACAGGCCCATTAGCAAACTTCATCAAATAAGCATGGGCGAGCAAGGTCCCCATCACCAGCTCCTCTTTGCACACTCAGCTGTACTTTCAGTTGAAACATTTTACACCTCAGGTGCAATAGTGTGTCCTTGCTCAATTAACTTGAATGTTATGCAGATATCTTTCTACTACATTAAAAGAAAGATCAACGAATGCATCTAAGTATGAATATTTAGCCACTTTTTTGCTATAATAAATATAGCTATATTAAAATATTAATTTTGGAATTCAATTTAGCCTAAAACTCTGACAAGAAAGAATTTAAGTAACTTGACTGCAAGAATTTACTGGAAAAAGTGCCTGATGTTTGAGCTCCTGGGAATTGAGGTGTCTTCCCGGCACCCCCAGATATACCTTTAGAGTAGAGCACACAAACCTGTTCTGGGCTCATGTAGAGCTTGGTCCCTACTTGTCCTGTGTGCCTGGCGTAAGCCGGCATCGGGGTCAGTACCGATTCCTCCTCCTCGTCTTGGTCCATAGCAGTTACCAGGCCAAAATCCCCAACCTTTACTACGTCATCCATGGTGAAAAATATATTGGAAGGCTAAGAAAACAAACAGGTGAAAAGAAAAAAAAAAAAGTAAGTAACAAGCAAGTCTCTGTGTTTCAGTAGATACAACGCTTTGCTCTAACTCAGATAAGCCACATTGTCAAGGCTAAAAATGCTCATTAAACATCATGTTAGCAAACCCAACTAAGAATCTTAGCCTTTCAGGAAAAAGGAAACTTGGGCTGCTCATTGACTGTCTTCCAGTAGGGGTTTACTAACACTGCATAGGTCTGACGAGTGACATACACAAAAGTCAACAATTGTGGGGAACAGCACAGATGAGTTATCCAGCTCTCCATCACATGGCAAATTCACACCAGATGCTGGAGTTCTGACTCTTTGTCTTTTTTAATCTAATCTCTGAGTGTTAAACTTGTTCACAGTATTATTAACCAGCACGTAGCACGTCACCTTAATGTTAAGTTACAGATACACTGGAAGTCTGGGAACAAGGTCTGCTTTCCAGTTGGTACTGCACAGTTTAACTGTGGGAATGGGGCCTTGCATAACAG